GTGGCGCAGTACTTCCTGGCCGAAGAGGCCATCCCCGAGGAATCGCGCGAGCAGGTGACGAATCACCTGGTGCACGCGCACTTGCGCGTGGTGCGCGTGGCCCATCGCTTCGGCGAGGAGCTGCGTCGACACTACTACGTGACGCCCAAGAACTACCTCGACTTCATCTCGAACTACCGACTGCAGCTCAAGGAGAACAAAGTCAAGGTCACGGCAAGCATCGCTCGTCTCAAGGGCGGTCTCACGAAGCTCGTGGAAGCGGCTCAAGCCGTGGACGTCATGCAGGTGGAGCTGTCGGAGAAGAAGGTCATTGTGGACGAGAAGACGCTCGCGTGCGAAGCTCTGATCAAGACGATCGAGGAGAAGTCGGCCGTGGCTTCCAAGCAGCAGGAAGTGGCTGCCGCGACGCAGATTGAGTGCGAGAAAGCGTCCGTTCTCATCGCTAAAGAGAAAGAAGAGGCCGACGCTGCGTTGCTCGAGGCTCTTCCAGCTGTGGAGGCCGCCGCTGCAGCGCTGCAGGATTTATCCAAGGCGGACCTGACGGAGCTCAAATCGTTCGCGTCCCCGCCGCCATTGGTCATGTCGGTGTGCATGTGCGTGTTGATCCTTAAACCTACGGGCCAAGAGCTGGATCTCGACTGGAAAGGAGCCAAGGTCATGCTCAGCAACGCCAACCTCATCACACTCTTGAAGGAGTACGAGAAGGACAAGATCTCGTCCAAGATGATCACCAAGATCAAGACGTTCTTCAAGAACCCGGACCTCAACATCGAGAACATGAAGTCCATCTCTAAGGCCGGCGCAGGTTTGCTCGTGTGGGTCGTGGCCATCGTCAAGTACCACGACGTCGCCAAGAACGTCGAGCCGCTGCGTCTGAAGGTCAAGTCAATGGAGAAGGAGCAGACCATCAAGGAGCAGGAGCTCGCAGACCTCAAAGCGACTCTGGACCGGTTGAAGACGGAGCTCGATAACCTGTCGACGCAGTTCCAGGAGGCCAACTCGGAGCTGCAGGGGCTGAAGACACAAGCCGACCAGATGCAAAAGAGGCTGCAGGCGGCCAGCAAGCTCCTGGCAGGTCTCGGCTCGGAGCGCACGCGCTGGACGAAGGACGTCGACTCGCTCAACCTGCAGAGCGAGCGGCTGGTGGGCGACTGCTTGCTCACTGCGAGCTTCCTGAGCTACGCTGGGGCCTTCAGCTTCGACTACCGCTCGGACCTCATTTACCGCGACTTCTTCCAAGACATCGAGGCTCGCAAGCTGCCCGTGACGAGTCCATTCCGCCTCGAGAACTCGCTCACGGACGACGCGACCATCCAGAAGTGGGTCTCGGAAGGCCTGCCCGCGGACGAGCACTCGGTGCAGAACGGCATTCTGACCACGAAGGCGAGCCGCTTCCCGCTGTGTATCGACCCGCAGCAGCAGGCGGTCAACTGGATCAAGAAGAAGGAGGAGAAGAACAGCCTGACCGTCAAGACGCTGAGCGACCCGGACTTCATGAAGCACTTGGAGCTGGCGATTCAGTTCGGCAACCCGTTCCTGTTCGAGAGCGTGGACGAAGAGCTGGACCCCATCTTGGACCCGGTGCTCGAGAAGAGTACGTTCATGGAAGGCTCGCAGCGGCTGATCAAGCTCGGCGACAAGAACGTCGAGTGGGACGCCAACTTCCGCCTGTACTTCACGTCCAAGCTCGCCAACCCGCACTACTCCCCGGAGGTCATGGGCAAGACCATGATCGTCAACTACAGCGTCACGCAGGACGGCCTGGCCAACCAGTTGCTGAACGTCGTGGTGGCCCACGAGAGGCCCGACTTGGAAGAGCAGTACAGCGACCTCGTCACGGAAATGTCCGAGAGCACGCAGCTCATCGTGGAGCTGGAAGACACGCTGCTGCGCGAGCTCTCGAGCAGCTCCGGCAACATTCTGGACAACGAGGAGCTCATTGCCACGCTGGACGAGACCAAGAACAAGGCGACGGAGATCAGCGCCAAGCTCGAGCTGGCCAGCTTCACCAAGGACGAGATCACCAAGGCTCGCGAAGTGTACACGCCTGTGGCTCTGCGCGGGTCGATCATGTACTTCGCGATGGCAGCGCTCGCGACCATCATGAAGATGTACGAGATCTCGCTCGCGAGTTTCCTCACCGTCTTCCACACGGCGCTCGAGACGGCGAAGCGCGACGTCGTGCTCGAGAAGCGGCTGCGCTTCATGGTGCAGTCGATCACCGAGATGATGTACGACTACACGTGCACGGGCATCTTCGAGCGGCACAAGCTCATGTTCTCCTTCCAGATGACGTGCATGATCATGAGTGCGGCGGGCGACCTCAATCGCGCCGAGCTCGACTTCTTCCTGAAAGGCGACACGTCGCTAGAGGCCGCGTCACAGCCGAAGCCCGAGGACCTCACGTGGGTGTCGGGCGCAGGGTGGAAAGACCTGCTGTGCCTCAGCAAACTCGGCGAAGGCAACGGAGACGGAGGCGTCTTCGGCTCGTTGATGTCGGACTTTGCCACCAAGACGAGCGAGTGGAAGGCCTGGTACGACCTGGAGGTGCCCGAGCTGGCTGATCTCCCGTGCGGCTACTCGGACACGCTGTCGAGCCTACAGAAGCTGCTGGTGTTCCGCTGCTTCCGCCAAGACCGCGTGTACAACGCCATGAAGCTGTTCGTGATGACCGTGATGGGGGAGAAGTTCGTGCAGCCGCCGGTGCTCGACTACGCGCGCATCTACAGCCAGAGCGCGGCGATGTCCCCGATCGTGTGCATCCTGAGTCCGGGCGCTGATCCACAGAGCGACATCCAGACGCTGGGCGACGAGTACGGGTTCTCCGGCCATCGGTTCAAGTTCCTGGCGCTCGGCCAAGGTCAGGGGCCTCTGGCCGAGCAAATGCTGGAGGCCGGAGCCACGCGCGGCCACTGGGTGCTGCTGCAGAACTGCCACTTGCTCGCGAGCTGGCTGCGCACGCTCGAGAAGATGCTGCTGGCCATGACCAAGCCGCACAAGGACTTCCGGCTGTGGCTCACGACGGAGCCCACGGACCGGTTCCCGCTTGGCATCCTGCAGCGGTCGCTCAAGGTCGTGACGGAGCCGCCCGACGGGCTCAAGCAGAATATGCGGAGCCTCTACTCCAAGCTGGACCAGAGCATGCTCGAGGAGTGCCCGCACGCCGCGTTCCGGTCGGTGGTCTACGTGCTGTGCTTCCTGCACGCGGTGGTGCTGGAGCGGCGCAAGTACGGCAAGATCGGCTGGAACGTGAGCTACGACTTCAACGAGTCGGACTTTACCATCTCGAGGAAGCTGCTGAGCCTGTACCTGTACAAGGCGTACGAGGACCGCGACGAGCAGCTCCCGTGGGGCTCGCTCAAGTACCTCATCGGCGACGCCATGTACGGCGGCCGCGTGAGCGACGACTACGACCGCCGCATCCTCACGACGTATCTGTCCGAATACATGGGCGACTTCCTGTTCGACGACTGCCAGCGGTTCTACTTCAGCCGCTCGGGCTTCGACTACGTTCTGCCTGGCGCGTTGGACGGCGACTCGAGTCCGCTGGCGCTGCAGCTGGACGACTACGTGGCCACGGTGGAGACGCTGCCGCTGACCAACAGCCCCGCGGTGTTCGGCCTGCACCCGAACGCCGAGATCGGCTACTACACCAACATGTCCAAGAGCGTGTGGAAGGACCTCATCTCGCTGCAGCCGCGGTCGGCGCAGTCCGGGGCCGGCGTCTCGCGGGAGGATCACATCGGCAACGTCGCAAGCGACATCCAGTCCAAGGTGCCCGAACCGGTGGACGTGGACCAGATCCGCAAGAAGCTGGGGCTCACCCCCACGCCGACGCAGGTCGTGCTGCTGCAGGAGCTCGACCGCTGGAACCTGCTGACGGCGCGCATGCGCGTGTCGCTCGGAGACCTGCAGAAGGCGCTCGTGGGCGAGATCGGCATGAGCGACGAGCTGGACGCAGTGGGGAACGCGCTGTACGACGGCTTTTTGCCGAATCTGTGGCGCTCGCTGTGCCCCAAGACGGAGAAGCCGCTGGGGAGCTGGATGGAGCACTTCACCATGCGCTTCAGGCAGTACATGGACTGGGTGGCGCACGGAGATCCGCGGGTCATGTGGCTCTCGGGCCTGGGCATCCCCGAGTCGTACCTCACCGCGCTGGTGCAGGCGACGTGTCGAGCCAAGAACTGGCCGCTGGACAAGTCGACGCTCTACACGCGCGTCACGAGCTACACGCAGGGCTCGCAGCTGCCCGCAGCTACGTCTGCTGAGGGCGACACTGCGTCTGGCTGCTTCGTCAAGGGGCTCTTCCTCGAGGGCGCGTCCTGGGACCTCCAGCGCGGCTGCCTCGCACCGCAGCGGCCCAAGCAGCTCGTCGAAGAGCTGCCCATTCTCCAGGTCATCCCCATCGAGGCCAGCCGACTCAAGCTGCAGAACACCTTCCGCACGCCCGTGTACGTCACGCAGAGTCGGCGCAATGCCATGGGGGTCGGCCTCGTCTTCGAAGCGGACCTGCACTCGACCGAGCACGCGTCGCACTGGGTGCTGCAGGGCGTGGCGCTCGCGCTCAACACGGACTACTAACTAGTATAATTTGCGTGCTAAGTTACCACCTTAAGGCGGCTTCGCAATGAATGCATTGAATGTACATTCTACAGCGCTATGAAAACTCTTTGGTAGATGCTGGCTATGCTGCGCATGTAGTGTACCGTGATAGTTTTGCTGGATTCGTTCACCCGGCCCATGGATCACGGTACACCTGAACAAGGTATCACACGGCCGCTTCAAATAGTACCATTCACGCGCTCGCTCGATCTCATGTGTTCATGGCATTCTGGTGGAACCAACCGCACTGTCAACGTCTCAAAAGCTATTGCTGCTTGCAGAAGAAAATGCCGCGCGCGTTGCTTCGATGCCTCTTGCTCTTGCATGGCACTTCTCAATCTGCCCAGCTACAGCTACAACTACCCACCACCCCAGCCCACCAGCCTAGTTACTGCGCCATGTTCAAGCCTGTCGTCTTCGCGCTCGCCTTCGCTTCCGTTGCCCATGCGGCGTGTCCCGACGGAGAGGAGGAGATCAGCGTCCAGGGGATCGACAGCTACTTCTGCGTCAACGGCGAGGGCTGTGCGGGCTCCAACTCCCTCGGCCTCTGCCCGGACGAGCAGGACGGCTTGGAGTTCGGCTCGTACTGCGACCTGCTCGAGACGGGCGTCTACGGGTGCAAGCCGTACTCTGACTGGGACACAGCGTCGAGCACCGAGTACGACGCGCCGCTGAACTGCACGGGCAACATCGCGGGCGAATTCTCCGTCAGCGTCGAGGGACGGCGACGGCACATTCTGCTCGGCCGGACCCGTATGCTCGGGCACCATCGCTGGCAACTGCCCCAGCGCTCAGGACGGACTGCCCGACGGCTCCGTGTGTGTCATCATCCAGACCGGCGTCTACGGCTGTGTGCTTCCCCCGACGGTGTAGCGGTGACTCGAAGACCGAGACTCACAGATCTCATTAGCAACTATGAACCTTATCCACTTCTTACAACTTCTGAGGCAGGTCGCTTACACGATTCATGGTCGAGCAGATAGTGGTGCGGCGATCTGTAGTCATCCAGTACCGATCATGTTAACAGGCGAGCTAGGCAACCATGCCGCAACCTCAGTTGAAACGGTGGTACCGCCACACAACCAGAGCATGGTGCTTTAGATCCTCCAGTACACCAAACGATGACACTCTATCCCCCGAATTTGCCAATCAATCGCTCCAACTTTTGTCTCTGTCGCACCGCACTTCTTGCAGCCTCAACGATAAGATCCCACCATGAGCGGGTACGGGGCTCACAGTGCATGCACGGCTTGCCTGCGTTCGGCTCGACATCACAAAGCACATGGAGCCAGCTAGGATAGTGCGAGTCGAACGCGTCGAAGACGACGGCGACCTACGTCGCGAGCAAACCCGTTGCAAGACGCGGCGCAAATCCTCTAACGATGTAGCCATCTCACAACTGTAGCCATCTGTCGCGCGTGGTATCCGTCCATCACTTCAACTTCGTCAGTCGCCGTCATTTCCCGATTCGCCTCGTGCCACGCAAGCCTCGCAGGTCGCAGTCGTCCACGGCACTGCAGATCCATCCTCTGGCCCATGCAGTCCCCCAAAGACGCTCCACCACCACCAGCAGTAGCAGTCTCAGTCGCAGCCCCCACCAGCCTCACAGACTGCGCCCCATCCGCGCTGCACGAGTACGTGGCCTCGTGTCTCGAGCGCGCGCTGGGCCGCGCCCTGCCGCACATGGAGATCCGCTTCAAGCGCCTGAGCGTGACGGCCGACGTGCCGGTGGTGGAGCAGACGAGCGGCCTCCCCACGCTCTGGAACGCCGTGCGCCTGGCGGTCGCCGGCGTCGGCCGCAAGCCGCGCGTGGTGCGCAAGGAGATCCTCAAGGACGTGAGCGGCAGCTTCCGGCCGGGCTCCATGACGCTCGTGCTGGGGCAGCCGGGCTCGGGCAAGTCGGCGCTCATGAAGGTGCTGAGCGGCCGCTTCCCGCTGGCCAAGAACGTGGCGCTGACTGGGGAGATCACGTACAACGGGGAGACGCAGGAGCGGGTCAGGGACCAACTGCCGCAGTTCGTGGCGTACGTGACGCAGCGCGACAACCACTTCGCGGTTCTGACAGTCCGCGAGACGCTTGAGTTCGCCCACAAGTTCTGCGGGGGAGAGCTCATCCGACGCGGCGAGGAGCTGCTGACCAACGGCACGGAGGAGGAGAACGCGCGCGCTCTGGAGGCCGCGCGCGAGCTCTTCGATAAGTACCCGGACATCGTCGTCCAGCAGCTCGGACTGCAGGACTGCCAGGACACGATCGTGGGCGACGCGCTGATGAGGGGCATCTCTGGAGGCGAGAAGAAGCGGGTCACGACGGGGGAGATGGAGTTCGGCATGAAGTACGTGACGCTCATGGACGAGATCAGCACGGGCCTCGACAGCGCCGCCACCTTCGACATCATCAATACCCAGTGCAGTGTGGCGCGCAAGTTCAACAAGACGGTGGTCATCGCGCTGCTGCAGCGGCGCCCGAGGTGGTGGCGCTGTTCGATGAGATCTTGATCCTCAACGCCGGAGAAGTCATGTATCACGGCCCCATGCAGGAAGTGGTGCCGTACTTCTCGGCGCTGGGCTTCGAATGCCCCACTGGGCGTGATGTGGCGGATTTCTTGATGGATCTGGGCACGAAGCAGCAGGGTCAGTACCAGGTGGAGCTGTCCACACGCAACTACGTCCACCCTAGAGAACCCAGCGAGTTCGCGCGCGTCTTCCGCGAGTCGCAGATCTACCAGGACACGCTTCGCAAGCTGGAGGAGCCGCTGCAGCCGACGCTGCTGGAACACGTCGACCAGCACATGAACCCCATGCCGCAGTTCCACCAGTCCTTCTGGGAGAACACGAGGACGCTGCTGCACCGCCAGGTCCTCATCACGGTGCGAAACAAGCCGTACATCTTCGGGCGCGGCCTCATGATCACCGTCATGGGGCTGCTGTATGCCACGTCCTTCTACCAGTTCGACCCAACGGAGATCCAGGTCGTCATCGGTATCATCTTCGCGGCCTCGCTCTTCCTGTCGCTGGGGCAGGCGTCACAGCTCCCGACGTTTATTGCGGCTCGCGACATCTTCTACAAGCAGCGCGGGGCCAACTTCTTCCGGACGTCGTCGTACGTGCTGGCCAACTCGGTGAGTCAGCTGCCGCTGTGCGTGGCTGAGACTCTGATCTTCGGCACGCTCGTGTACTGGATGTTCGTCTCGCACGCCAGCGAGTTCTTCCTGTTCCTGCTCGTGCTCTTCCTGACCAACGTGAGTCTTGGATCCTTCTACTTCTCGCTAACTGCAGCCTCCAAGGACATCAACATCGCCACGCCGATCTCCATGGCTGCCACACTTATCATCATCATCGTCGCCGGCTTTGTCGTCTTTTTGTCGTCTTTTTGGCTATTTTTTGTTTTTGCACGGATCTCCGTGTGTTTTGCAGTGGGCATACTCAGCGCCAGTGCGGCGAGGGGGCGCAGCAGGGCGCATGGTCCCGTGCAGGGCGCATGGATACTGGAACCAAGTCCGACCGGCAACTTGTGTTTTTCGAAAGAACTCCGAGTGCTTTCGAAGAGCACTCGGAGACGCGCAAAACGCTACAATGCCCAGAAATGCACGACTCCGTCCTTCTCCTCGTACTCGTCCGCGCTCTCCTCCTCCTCGACCTTCTCCTCCTCGTCCTTCTCCTCGCGCTGTGCCGCCTTCTTCTCCCAATACCTCGCTTTCCCCCTCTGGGGCTTTTTCGAGGCACTCCTCACAGTACTTGAAGAACCCTCCCCCGTCCCTGGCCTTCGCGGAGTTCCCGCATTGCCTGCACTTGCCGGGTCGGCGTGGACGCTGTTGCTTTTGTCGGATCCCGTGCGAGGCGTTGAAGTCCAGCTTGGCCCGGCCTCGGACGCGGCACCAGTCACACTCTGAGTAGAGACCGCCGCCCTTCTTCGGTGGTTTAGTCGCGCACGGCATGTGGCAGTGTGAACACTGTCCGGGCGTCTTCTGTCTCTTGATGCCGAGTGCGGCGCGCTTGGCATCGCACCTCTTGCTGCTTTCTTGTGCGCGTTTGCGGCATAGGTTGCACTTACTGTAGAGCCCACCGCCAAGCTCTGCAGGCTTTTCAGCGCAATTTCGCTTGAGGCACGTCCCGCACTTCCCGGACTCTCTCGACTGGATAGCCTCGCTTCGTTAAGCAGCGTCCTTGGCCCTGCATGCAGCGCACCTGGCGTGCTTGTCGCTTGCAGGTTTCTTCTTGTTGCAGTTGCAACACCTGCCTTCCTCCTGTCTCTGATAATACTGGAACTGATTCTTGTGCCGGCACGCGATGCACGTGCTTTCGCCGTCGGCGAGAGCTCCAGTCCTGCACTGCACACAGATGCCGGCCAGCTTCAGCCTGTTGTAATCGGCCGCGTCCTTCTTCTCTTCCTCGATGATGGCGCCCCCCTTCCTCGTCCACGAACTCCCCGAGAACCAGCTCTTCGGGCGCGAGCTCCTCGCTAACCAGCTCTTCGGGGGCGAATCCCTCGCTGGCCTGGGCGGTCGCCAGCTGCTTAGCGGTCGTGGTGAGGGCCTCTTGCTCCCTGACCCACTCGTCGTCGATCTCCATGAACAGGGCCTCCTTGGCCTGTGACTCTTCGAGATCCTTCCGGACTACATGTAGCGAAATCGAGCAAACAGGTTAACAAACGTACACAAACAAAGAGTTAACACATCACAAGTTACCGGCATCAAGCATGAAGTGGTAGGTGATGCTCTCATAGGACCGGTTCAATCCTTGGAAGGAAGGGTTGACGGATCCACTCGACGACATGACATCGTCCACAATAATCAACTGCAATAACAGAGTTAACACAAGACAACCAAGGCAACTTTAAGAGAGAGCATTACTTGCCTTGATGTGTTGAACCTTGCTCCGCTCCTTCGGCACGAGGATCCTGACCTGGGCCCCTTTCTTCTGCTCGGCTAGCAGCTTCTTCACGAGCGGCAGCTCGAACGTTGCCATCGTCTGCCTCCAGTCGAGCATGAGCGTGATGCAAACCTTCAACTTCAGCAGCACCAAGAGGCGCCCCAGCACCCCAAGGGCTGTCAACGAGAACGCCTCGATGCGCAGCATGTATCGCGGTAGCTGAAACTGGAACATATAGTCCGGGCAGAACTGGGGGTTTTCACGGGAGTAGTCCGTCCGTTCAGGCGGCAACGCCTCCACCTTCTTGTAAATGGAGTAGAATGTAGACGGCTTGATGTCGAGCCAGAGAGTAGGGTCAGATCCGGCTTCTTGGCGAGCAGCTTCTGGAGCTCCATGTTGACCCGGATGGGCTCGTGCTTGGGTTCCGGGGCGGGCCCGCTCTTGCTCCATGGCTCGCCCTTCACGTACTTCTCGTAGATTTTCCGCACTGTGCGGTAGTCGCGAGTCGGCTGCAGATGAGCGGCCACTTCCTTGAAGTCGGTCGACGTGGGGGCCCGCTCGGCGCGGATGAGGGGCATGAGCTTCCGAGTGATTTTGAGGCGCTCCGCCGGAAGGACGGGGGGCGCGAACTGCACGCGCTTCTTGCTGGGCCGCTTGCCCGACCCAGTGCTCACCTTGCGCCATCTTTGCGCTCCGGGGAATTCGATTGTGAGCCGCCAAAGAGCCGCCGCCGGCCAAATTATTTGAAATCGGTGCCGGTGAACGCGCTTCAAGGTGATGGGCGGGTTCGTCACGTTCTTCCAGACTCCGGTCTCGTGGACGCTGCGCGCTCTAGCTGTGATCGAGTACCGCTCGGCTGACATGGACGTATGCGAGTATGGAGGCATCAACTACTGCGACGAGTTCGGGGGGCTTCGGATGGGCGAGTACTATCTGCAGCTGTTCGACTTCAAGACCGAGAGGATCTGGATCGTGTACTGCGTGGTGTACATGGTGTTCTACGTCGGGTGCATGACGCTAGGATACTTCTCGCTCGAGTACTTGCGATACGAGGCGCCAGAAAACATCGCGGTGTCCGACTCTCCCGTCGAGGAGGAAGATGTGCCGAAGGATACGGCGACTCAAGACCGGTTGGAGTCTGCGTACGCTCTGGCAACGACACCGAAAGCTCTGCCCAAGCCAGGCGACAACGCCATTCTAGACGTGGTCCCAGTACCAACGTCCTTCACTCCGGTGGCGCTGGCTTTCCGCGACTTGCACTATTCCGTTCCGAAGCCGTCGAACCCGAAGGAATCCATTGAGCTCCTCACGGGGTCAGCGGGTATGCGCTTCCCGGACGGATGACAGCATTGATGGGCGCGTCGGGGGCGGGACGTCATCGCCGGAAAACTGGAGGCTCAATCTCGGGGCAAATTCTGCTGAATGGGTATGAGGCGAACGACTTGGCCATTCGACGGTGCACGGGATACTGTGAGCAAATTGACATGCACTCGGAGGCGGCAACCATCCGCGAGGCTCTGGCGTTTAGCGCGCTCCTTCGTCAGGGCAGTGACGTTCCAGATAGCGCCAAGTATGACTCGGTGAACGAGTGCTTGACTCTGCTGGATATGTGGGACATCGCAGACCAGATCATTCGTGGTAGCTCAACAGAGCAAATGAAGCGCCTGACCATCGGAGTAGAATTGGCAGCCCAGCCAAGCGTGTTGTTCCTGGATGAGCCCACGAGTGGCCTCGATGCTCGCTCTGCCAAACTTATCATGGATGGGGTGCGGAAGGTGGCGAATTCCGGCCGCACTATCGTGTGTACGATTCATCAGCCGTCAATGGAGGTGTTCTTCCTCTTCGACAGCTTGCTGCTGCTCAAGCGAGGCGGTGAAACCGTGTTCTTCGGGGACTTGGGGCCGAACTGCCAGCAACTTGTCGACTACTTCGAAGAGCTGCCCGGGTTAGCTCCGTTACCACCGCGATACATTCAGCCACGTGGATGCTCGAGTGCATCGGAGCTGGTGTGCTGAACGACGTCCCAACCGATCTGGATTTCGTGGCTACGTTCAATGCCAGTGCGAACAAAAGTCAGCTCGACGATATGGTGAACCGTAAGGGCGTCGGTGTTCCATCGGCTGCAGCTCCCGAGATGTTGTTCGCGAAGAAGCGAGCGGCTTCGTCGATCACGCAGTTCAGCTTCCTTACCAAGCGGTTCCTGGACATGTACTGGAGGTCGCCGACGTACAACCTCACTCGCGTGGGGATGGCAGTATTCTTGGGGCTTCTGTTTGGCTTAGTGTTCCGTGAAGCCAACTACAAATCGTACCAAGGCCTCAACTCGGGAATGGGCATGATCTTCATGGCGACGCTGTTCAACGGCATGATCTCGTTCCAGTGCGTGCTGTCAGTGTCGTCGGCCGATCGCCCTGCATTCTACCGAGAGCGCTCGACGCAGACATACTCTGCCTTCTGGTACTTCGTCGGCTCGTCAATCGTGGAGATTCCGTACGTGTTTGTGAGCGCCTTCGTGTTCACGGCCATCTTCTTCCCTTTGGTGCAGTTCACGGGCTTCGGGACGTTCTTGCTGTACTGGATCAACACCTCGTTCCTCGTCCTCATGCTCACCTACATGGGGCAGATGTTCGTGTACGCACTGCCAAGCGAGGAGGTGGCCGCCATCATCGGAGTGCTCGTCAACTCGATCTTCTTCCTCTTCATGGGCTTCAGTCCCCCAGCCAACCTCATCCCGTCGGGCTACCACTGGCTGTACACCATCACGCCCCAACGATTCTCGCTCGCCATCCTCGGCGCGCTAGTGTTTGCAGACTGCCCCGATGAGCCCCTTTACGACGAAGCGACCAAGACGTGGAGTGGCGTGGACTCTCAACTGGGCTGCCAGCCGTTGGAGAATGCTCCGGTGACTACGGGTGCCGTCACCGTCAAGCAGTTCACCGAAGATGTGTTCGGGATGAAGCACGACGAGATCTGGACCAACTTTTTCGTCGTGCTGGGCTACATCGTGCTGTTCCGCGCTCTAGCGCTGCTTGCTTTGCGATTCATCAACAGCCAGAAGCGCGAGAATGTTTTTCTCAGTTTGTCCATAGTGCCAATATCGCTTGGTCACGAAATGATACCCTTCTTTCCAGTACTATCGCCATTCCACACCACAACGGCATCTTTCATACCGCGTCTGAGCCCAAGAATTGCTGCACTCGGTAATTTATCACGACTTGTACACATCATCGTAGCTTTTGAGGAGCACTGGCTTGGCTCCCGCAAATAGCTCTCAGGCCCGAGAAAACTGTTTTTGCCGAGTTTGGCCATTCCAAGACACCCCGTTGATAGCGCATTCGAGCAGGACGAAGGCGAAGGTGATCGGGCATGTCGTTCTTCACGATCGACACGTTCCAGCAGTACCACCAGGAACTCGGTGCTGCGATGGCGTCCAAGCTCGAGTCGAATCCAGAGTCTCCATCCACCGCGAAGACCACAGCGAGTGACAAGCAGGAGGAAAAGCGGCCGTCTTCACCGAGTCGATCTGCGAATACGAGATCCTTATCTGCAGAAGCCGCAAGTGAGCTCGACCCTCTGTCAGCGTTAAACCTCGCGCGAGCTGCGGATCCGTGGCTTGGGAACTCGCTGTTGACTCCGACGGCCTGCAGCTACCTCGACAGTACGGAAGGAGCGTCGGCATCGGCTGTCGCAGCAACGTCGCTCAAAGTTGTGGCCGTGGATCATCCGAGTGACGACTGGGGTGACTTCGTCACGTTCGCACCGAAAGACCGACAACATAAGCAGCTCGAAGGGAGAAGCACTTCACCCGCCAAACGTGTGTCTCCACCGCCACGGCATCTACCTGACCACGACAGCCACCCGGACAGTGACGATGACTCCGACAGAAACAACTGCGAGCCAATGCTTGGAAGTGACACGTCACGCCTTGATCGCGAACGCACCGGATCTGGTTGGGGTGTCACCTCACCGTCCATGGAGATTAGAAACAATACTCCAACCCACGCTACGTCCACCGCTCTGG